GGAGGCAAATGATGTGGAGATAAGTAAGATAAATTTTCCTTGCCAAGGATTTCGCCACACCACAGTCGCATCTTTTATGATATATAGCTAATCCTACAGATGATGAAGATCAATCACATACCCCCTGAATCCATAGACTGATTTTGTCATTCTCTATAGCCACATTTTCCTCCCTCTCATCCGAAACATAAACTTAATTCTACAAAGTGCCCATTCTCTAATTATGAATATAACATATTCATTGTGCTCAATTATTTTCGTAGATAAATTACATTCAGTTATGTTCGTCTGGTTGAATTCAAGATCAGCTTCGATCTCGTGAAAGTCACAATTTGCCTTGCATCAATTTACGCCGTCGAATCTATTCTCTTTTGGTCATTTTATTCATATCTAACTTTGACAACAACTATAGTTGGCTGAATTTAGCGCAATTTATCTACACTTATTTGGACATGTTTCAAGTGTCTACTCTGCAAATCTGCTAGCAAAAAATTTAGTTTATAAGCCTTTCGAAGAATCAGGTAATCACCATGCCCTGATGATGAACGAGAGATTGCGGCCAAACTGGGACAAAGACTAATGCTTCTCATAATTTCAATACTGGCTCCAATTGACAGTACGTATTTTATGAAGATGTTATGTGCAATTCCATCAATATATTCTCTTTTTAGTCTTACATAATTCCATTCACTCCTATAAACCTATCATTTCCTTGCATGATGTATTTTCTACTTTGGCACTTTGATTTATTCGTCCTCAAGATATTGGCATAGCTTGTAAACTGGTTGTTCAATATATTTTTGCTCGAGGAATTTTTCAAATTTAATTTATTTGATCAACTTTTAAGGGTTAATGAATTAATACTAACCTATAACCTATAGCGAAAATTCAAGTGCGCGTTAATTTTTCACATTTCTTACATCCTTAATTGAAAAGGATCCAATCATATGTTAAAGTGAATAATCTTTTAATCCCTTTAAAGCCTTATTTTCAGCCTATATCACTCTTTCAACAAAAAGGCGTCTATGTTAGGGCAAGAGTGCAGTCATATTTGCACTTATAGAATCCAAGTTAAAGTGAAATTCGCCAGCATAATCCATTCTTCTTTGATCTATCATGCATTCCTCGCATAATATTCCTTAAAAATTAGGTTATATAAAAGTGTATCCATTCATTGCTTAAGGTGTTAAAGGACTGGTGGTTAAATTTTTCTACAATTATACGATTAAGCCTCATATTCTCACTTAACTTCGCATAGCCCTGCATTACAAAATGCATTCTACAGCTTCAACTTGGCCTAGGTCTCATCAGTGCCCACAGTGGGACCCTAACCAGGATAGTGCAGTGTACGGTCTTGACACGTTAACCACTACACCACCCTGCTACGAGGGCTCTTGGTTCATAAAGTAGAAGTGAAATACAGAGCAGCCTGGGCCTTTTCCATACTACATTTCTCTGGGAGTCTTGTCGATACAGCTAAGTTGTATTTGCTATAGCAGCAATCGGTTGCATTACTTCATTTTATTTTATAAGTTGTTTTTCACTAACAGTAGGTATTATATAAGAGCTGTAGCCGATTGTAATAGGAAGTACAACTTTGCTCCATTGACTATCCCACCACAAGTGTGATATAATAAAGGTATAGGCTTCTTTGCAATTTTTTTCTGCCCTATAACCTGACAATGTGGTATAGTGATTAGCGTGTTGGATTATATTCTACAATACCCGGGTTAGATTCCCGCTGGTGATGCTGATAATACCTAGGCTAGGTCGAAATTGTATTCCATCCTGAATAATAATATATTTTAGGAAGCAAGGCAATAAAAATATGAGCCTTACTAATCATTTTGTGAAAATCTAACTACCAGTCCTTTATCACCTTAAACGATATTTGTTGTATACAACTCTTATGTAAGATCCACTGGTAGTCTCAAAAACCTACTTATAAACGGAAAATAATTTAATTGATTATATGAAGACCAAGATGTTGTGGCCTCTGGTGTGTGGAAAATAATTTAGATTATTTTCTGCCTTCATTCTATGTTTTTCATTATTATGTTGGCCACATTATTTGGTTCTCTGTGTACACATTTCAATATTTTGATCTACTTGTATAAAGGTTCATTTTAGTTTTACTTAGCTTGCAAAATGGCCGTTTGCTACGGTCGCTTAGTTAGCTTATTTTCCCATTATTTCGGTCAATATTATAAGGGCTTTGAAAGAACTGTTAATTGCCCCCAGATTCCAGCTTACATTTATGGTGGATGATTAATTAAATTAATATTTGACTGAGACGAAATCCCTTTTTTAAATGAGATACATAATAAACTCTGGCTATGCACACGTTTATGTCAAAGTCGTGATGAATTTAATTTCGTTTTAAAGTTCTCGATACAGAAATTCATAGATTGATCTCATCAGAATATTACAACTCAAGCCCATCCCTCTGCTCTTTTATAAAATCATAACGATAGGTTCGCGACCTTGACATTCAGGCTGATATGAAATTACTTAACAAGGGCTCTATTCTTAATTTGTAATGGATCGATAAAATTTGACTGAGATCCGATATACTGTGTACATCAATCCTTCATCGTAATTTATAATGTCCATACTTGACCTCCATTACCACAAACTCGGGATTAGTTTTACATCTCGACTATACTTCTTATGTCCAAGCACTTATGGTCTTATCTTCCTTTTTACTATTTTCTCTGTTCTTTTGTTGCCTTGCTACCCATCGTTTCTCTCTTCCACTTTTAAAATCGATGTCCGCTTTTAACTCATGCAATACCTCCATCAGGTCTGTGACACTCTCTTCAATCTAGGCCCAATCAGCCTGTTGACATCCGGAGAAGTACCCTGTCTCACTGGGGACGCCGTTGACCCATCAGATGAGCTGCTGGCATCAGCACAGTCTGAACTAAGACACGTTGAGCTCGTGGCTGCTGTCGTGCGGGGTCAGTTCGGTCGGCCACCTACTATGTTGCCAGAATCTTCTCCAGTCAATGTGACAGGTAAGCAATGATTGGAGAGCTCTTACTGGTTCCGTATTTATCTCATCGCAATCGTCGCTTAATTAATTGTGTCGATCCCAACTTCAGTTGCCCCATTAGTCATTGTGATAGTCTCAAATAATCTTCCAATTAGTCATACACATTAATGGAATCATACTTTTCATGCACTAAATATTCTGAATTATATAGAAATTTTGAAGATAATGAATTTTTTCTCGCATAAATTTTTTATAGTTGCTTCAGTGTGTTTGAGAAGTCTTATATGGCACTTACTTTTACTTTGATTCCAGAAAGACTCTTTTATTAACTTACCTCGCGATGCATAGTCTTTAATTATTTCACATAGTTGAGTCATCAATTGTGGCCATTATTCATGAATGATAATAAATCCTCTGCTTTTTGAGTCCATTTTCAATATGCTTTTTCGTCGTTTTTCATCATTAGCTTATTAGCCCTAAGTGAGGTAGAAACCGCAAAGTAGTGCTTATAGGACTAACGTATGTTAGGGGGAGTTGAATTCAGGTTTTCTATTAAACCTCTGAAAATCTAAGTAGCCGAATGGAATACCAGATCCCTTGGTCTGTGACATTGTTTTGCAACTATAATACGAATTAGCAGTACTTAGTACCTTATATCAAGATGACTTAATTTGTTAGTTATTTCCCCACATCAGCTATGCACTTTCTCATAATTTCTTATACGACTTCACCAGATGATGGCGATTGCTCTTTGTCAGCGTCCATAGATCTCGACAAGCCACACAGCGGTGGCATTGCCCTATTGCATCAAACTGTGCGTGCGCGAACTATGACAACCTTCGAGTTGCCAGAGTACACTAATCTTTGGGCCCTACATGGTCCTGTCGTAATGCAGCCACCTGCTGGTCCCCAACCACACATCTGTATGTCTGACGAGGCTGCATCGACTGTCATTGAGACGGCTTCTGCCAAACTCGGTTGCGACGGCTTAATTAGCCTTCATTCAGAGAGTCCAAGGCATCCCTCGGCGATACAAAACTGTGCAACCTCTGATCCCGCCACATCATTATCTTCTCCATCAGTATCTCCGAAGACCTGTGAAGCTTCTGCCATCACGGTGAATGGAGAAATAGAAAATAAAACATGTCAAATAATCGAAAAGCGTAAGTTCATTGGCTGTTGCAAAACTTCTACTACCTGTTCATCATCACCTTAAATGAAATAGGGTAAATACGTCTCATATTACTGACTTACTGGTAGTTTCGAAACTCTACTTACATACGAAAATTAATATTTTTATGATTAAGCTTTTACGATTATTTATTAAGCTACCTAAATGTAGCCTTATGTTGAAATTATTATGTCGTATATGTGATATTAATAAAATAGGATTACCCATTTCCGATTTCGCAAAGTCTCCTACATAGCCAATGTACCATTGTGATTACTTTTTCAAACATCATAGTAAACTATTTTTAAAAGACTCCATAGCTGTCTGGCAGGCGATATTTAACCTGTTTCTTTGAATTTTCTATAGTAATTGTCATCACACTTTAAATATACATATATATTTTTGTAATTTGCCAGATGAACTTGAGTTTTTCGTTAGCAAAGTAAATTTGATGATTTTTTCATGGCTAATCACCATTTTCATCTACCCGATCAATTACGATTCAAAACCTCTCGACATTGAGTGTTCATTTATTCATTTATATTTATTTCATTTGTTTATGGTTGTTTCAATGCTTTATTGCATCACCAAACTACTCCCCACAACTACGCCTTGTGACAACTACAACTGCTCTAATTTACTTTAACTTAGCAAGTTTCCTCAGATCGTATGGATTTGCATTAACAAACCTCTTATTAGTTGTTAGCTATCGCTTCAATAGACTTACATTATTTTTTGACTAAAACCCATCTCACCTTTAAACGCTTCCATAACGCTGTATTCTATCCTAACCCATATTAAATTTTACCACCCTACAACTTATTCTTCTTTCTAATCATGCAAATCCGGACTTGTGTATAGTCACCCGTAATCGATCCGATTTGGCTGTATCGCTGGCTGACATCGAGCGTATTGCAAGCTGTCTACAGTCCGGGAATAAGGATGTTATCAAACCCCCCGCTGTGATAGCTACTGACAGCACTCGCCATCAAGGAATTGTTTCGGAAAACAAAGTTGACACATTGAATCATTCACCGGCTACTCTGGCACTTGATTCTTCCCCTGACGTTGATTGTGAAGCCCCCTTTTCTAATAGATCCGAACTTCCGACTCACTCCAAGCCCAACTCATTAGATCACGAGAAGCTGGATCCATCGAACATCCGAACATGTCATCAGGGTATCGATGCCCAGGGCCGGCGCTATCACAGTTATCTCCTACTCACCAGAGAGGATTCTACTATGGTCAGTACTAATTGGTTAGATCAGTGGTTCCCAAACTTTTCCTAGTCGTGACGCCCTTTTTCAATTAAATTTTTTCCATGGCGCCCCACCCTAAGTATGACTATTCGTAAGTGAGAGATAAATAAAAATAAAACTCGTATATCTTCATTATTTTTTTTACTTTATTGACATTAAATTAATATTTAATTATTAATGTGCTGGATTAGCGTGCAAATCACTGCACATTTTCTCAAATTGAAGCTTTTACAATATTTCGCGGCGCCCCTGTAAAGAGGCCGAGGCTCCCAGGGGCGCCGCGGCGCACAGTTTGGGAATCACTGGGTTAGATGGTCAAGGAATTAGCCGGATGCTTCCTATGCAATGAAATCATTGCGACCACACAAAAGGCCACACCATCTTGGTCTTCATACCTTCGAAATCATTTAAATTTGGTATAGCTTGGTCGTATTGTCAAAGAGACCTAGATCAGCGCGTCTTGTCCAGAGTCCTCTACATTAGTATCCAGAATAATTTCCAGCGTCGGAACGTGAACTTGGTACGTTCTAAGGCGCTTCGTAGACATTGTAGTCGGTATCATCTGTGAGCCTTGCAGCTCTTAGCACCACATTAAAACTCTTCAGAGACAGACCTTGTCTTGACGAGTTGTTCTGTGATGATAAGAATAGCAAGGTTCATTGATGATGCCGGTAAAACGCCAGAGAATGCACCAGGTCCACAGTCCGACACTAATTTATCATGGATCCTATGACAGGACTCTGGACAAGGTGCGCTCATTTAGGTCTCCCTGATAACAGGACCAAGTTAGGAAAAGGATGCTAAATACCAAAACCGCGTTTATACAATTTGAGACTTGACACTTTTCATTAATAATCAATGTTTACTTCTTTGTTTTCCTTCAAGCCCTATCAAATAACTTAAAACCATGCATATGCTTAACATTTTTTAATCAGGATTAATTTGATCTCCTAGGTGTACCCTGTATACATGTTGTTTTTCAAGCACTGCGAATTGGCATCATTGAATTACGAAGTAAGCGAAATTCCCAAGGAAGGATAAATATATTTACCAAAGAAGTTGTTTGGCCTTGTTTTCGCAACTTGGTCATATTGGTAGGAAGACTTAGAGGAACGCACCTAGTCCGAAGTCCATTGTATGCATGATACTTTACAAAGTCGGACCGTGGACGCGGTACATTCCCAGACGTTTCGCCAGAATGATAGTTGGCATCATCAGTGAGTCTTGCCATTCTTAGCACCATACTACAACTCGTCAAAGAAACAAGTGAAGCCGATCCTTTGACAAATGTGTGCTAAACAGTTGTGGTATCTCTCCTGTCCTGGGCTATTCATCTTTCCTATATCCTCGTATCAAACCTTCACTATCACTATTTTTTCTTATTTAAATCTAGTGTAGTGTGCCCTTTTGAGCGGCTTTCATGAGGACCCTCCACACTCCATACTGGCCTTCTCACCCCCCCTTCACTCTTGTGTTGGGAATGTTGATCAGATTCTGCCATATTGTTACACAGTCCTTCTTCCCTAGGTGTTATCAGAGTCTCCCTCTTGCCCCGTAGGATCCGTCTGCTATCTCTCTGGTTCAAGTATTTCACTCGACCCCTGCCATCCCATCTGTGCTACTCGAGGCGTTATTACCTATCCCCTGCGTCTGGGTGACTATTTGAGGCTAAAACCTCTGAGTAATTCTTATAGTCAAGCCTTTGCTACATGGACTACATTTATGATAAAACAAGTCTTCCCACCAATATGACCAAGTTGTGAAAACAAGATCTAACAACTTCTATACGACAAAAGGACACTGAAATCACACAAAATGGCACACCATCTTGTCGTTATATCTTC